TTCAGTTTAATTTTGTATACGTTGTCGAGATTATTATGAGCAAACGAGGGATACGGTTTCGCGTAGTCGGTATTCTTCGTGGCTACCAAAAAGAAATTCTATGGGTTTTACAGTTGGCCGAACCTCTAGATTTCTTCTCTCGTTGTTCCTCGGTCGTCACGGGAATTATTACGAGGGGCACTTTGACACAAAAGCCCCGTTTTCTCTTACTTTCCTGCTTTACCGCTTGACTAGTCGTGTCATGCATTACGATGCTGAAACATCAACGGAAACGCTCACAATCAGCACGCACTTCACGCTGTCGATTCTTTTCGAAAGGACAGATGACACGGAAGGGATTCTATCGCCGCGAAATCTCTGCTTTCTGCGTCGGTATGTAATAATAATCGATTCCCCTCTCAGTTTTTGCAGTCTTTCCAAGGAATTAAGGTTTACCGGAACATCCAGCCACTGTACAGATAATATCTATATAGTTTTTGCAGTATCATTCTACCAGTTCTCATAGTATTAATTGAGATCTCACATCGCGAGATTAGAAATAAGAACCAAGGCAATGCACATTTTTGTACGTTCTTCGCAGATGTTCCTATTTGTGCAATTTTCAGTATACCAGGATACGTGGGAATTATTAAATATTTATTTTTATTACGTATGTTGCAATATTAATTTATTCTAACAGTGCTTTGAAATAACGACAGCGATCAGACTGTGATAAATCTGTCGATGACTCGAAGTCAGTAACTCAAAGTTCTCAATATTTTTAGATAATAAAATTTGCAAACATTTGATATGCTAAATGATACCTCAATTTTCTTTTGTCTAATGTAAAGTTTTATTTAGTGAAACATCATTTTGAATAAGTGACCCATGAATTTGATCCAAGTGGTCTAGTTCATTCTTCGGAAGAGCATTTCACGATAGAATAATTTGTACGTTAGAAATAACGAATGTGTATTCAGACCAGGATATTGCATGCTTTTGATCTATGGACTCGTTGAATGTAAATCAACAGAAGCAAGACGTTCGTACGCGAATCATTTCCCTGATAGACGTTTGCTAGACGAGGGAACGTTTCAGAGAATGCACAAATGCCTTCGAGACACAGGTTTGTTTAGAAAACGAGTGTCAGACGACGATAGATCCATCAGTATCGCAACCGTTAACCTCGAAGAGAGAATCCTGAATCACGTTGAAGAATAGGGAATGTCGGACACGTGACAGTGTGGAGAGTTTTACGAGACTGGTATTTGTTTATAAAATACGCCTGACTGTAATATAATGACAAGTGGTTCCAGTTATTTGTGTCGGTTAAAAAAAGTCCGTTCTGTAACAAATTTCGTAAAAGTCTGTTACTGTTTGTCTTCTTTCACTCAATTTTCTTACTTACAATCTGTAGTTTAATGTTAAATTTATTTATTTCCCAAGGTTTCGTATCTTATCCAAAAACTACTTAATAGACGAGACTTATTTTGTATTTAAAAAATTAATTTCAAATAAAAAATGTTAACGATTTAAATACCGATAAAATAATTCACCTTTCGTGCCCAAGAATTAATTTTCTCTTCAGCAGTATGCATAAGAACGATGCATAATTCAATTAATTAATCCTCATAGTGGCGGCGTGGGATCTACTCTACACTATGTATGCTAGGTATTTGTTACAGGTGCTGATTAGATAGATGGTATAAAATGTTAGTCATATTTTACCATTTTTAGATTAAAATGGATAAATGTGGTTTCAGTGCCTTTTATATTGGTGTCATTTTTACCACGATTAAACACTCGCGATACATTGATTCAATATTCCAACTTGAACAAGTTCAATATTTTATTGTGACAGTTATTAATTACGATGATTATTTTACCGTTTGGATTACGTATCAACATTACTGGAATAAATTAAATACATATACTGTTACTCGTATTCGTGCACTAAGGTGATTCGCTATGAATGGAAAGAAACTTGTTTCTTATGAATTTTTTCCATTTATTTTATTGTTCTATTTATTACTTTATTTTTTATTTTATTATATTTTATTTTATAATTTTTGTTTTCTTTTTTAATATTAACTTGCAAGTAATGCCCAATTATAAAACCGATAGAATTTCTTTTCTGTTTACGAAGTAGCTTTGTTTTGTTTTTTAATATCAACTTGCAAGTAATGTACAATTATAAAACCTATAGAAAGATATAATTATAAACAGTATACAATACTGTCAACAGTAAACAAATAAAAAATACGTATGAGAGTTTTCCAAGCGGTCAGTCATCCCAAAGTACTGTATTTGATCGTATATGTATGACAAAATGGATTTATACTAGTTTCAAAAACAACACAATTCATAAGAAACAAATTTATTTTCATTTAGTGACTTGAATCACTATTCTAGTGAAAGTAATTGTACATATATTCAAGCAATAATTGCAGTAGTTCGATATGTATTTCGTCGATTCTCAATTATTTTTACAAGTGCCTGAAACTAATTTCAACCCTTTTGACCAATAATTGAAACATCGAGAACCGCTGGAAAATGATCATGCGTTCGAGATCCAAACATTTTTGCGCAATTATCGACCGCAGAAAGTACCTGAATTTAATTCATTTAACTCGTGGCATCGATGTTTATCGTCGATACTCCATCGAAGCTATCGAATCGGTCGCGGATCATCGATTCGAATTGCTCGCCGTGAAGACGAATTATCAGATCGTCGTTACCCTACCTACCGCGTACGATTTCCTTTTCCAATTCGTCACCTGTATCGATAGAGATCCTTGGAGAACCTGCAAACTGCACTTTCGAAGAGCCTGGCGAGTTCCGCGGAAGCGCATCGTTCGCCATGCGAGAGAAACGGACGGATATTAGGCCCCAATAACCTGATTCTCGACGCTTTATTCTCATCGCGCGTACCTCGGACACGTTGTTTTTTCAATGTTCCCCCGAACGTCTTGAAGGCATGCCAATTACTTGTTCCGCGTCGCCCTCGAACGAGTACCGCGGCACACGCGAAACGCTGACTTTTCTATCCCGGTATGATTAATTGGCCGCAGATGCTTGCAGCACGACGGTTGCTCTTTTCTTCTGTTTCGACTTCTCTTTCGTAGAAGCGAAAACTGATGAAACACGCGCGGCGTGTTCCGTCGTTACCAGATCGTCGGATAAGCCAGTACGCGGGGAACACTTTATTTCGCACAGTAATTATGTGTCAGAGCCCGGGCGTCTGTTCCCCGTAGACGCGCATTGCGTCACTGATTTCAATCGTTCTCGAGATCCGGACCGCAGTTTGCCGCAAAAACTGCGTATTAATAAACGGTCAGCGAATATTTATTTTGTTCCCGATCCTAGCGGATATCTGGTCCACGGAATGGAAAGTCCGTCGGTGTAGCGAACGACTCAATTTTCAAGCGTCAGAACGTAATATTAACACGTTAAACGCGGAGCTGATTTTACGTCGCTTTCCATTTGCGCGCGAATACGAGAAACGCGTGTGCGTATAATCGAAGGATAACGAGCGGAAAAGCCTCGTTTTTCTTTAAAATGTTTCGATAGAAAATGTTATTTTATAGTAAAAAGCGTAGTGATTTAAATACATTCTAAGGATGCACCGATTATTCGATGCTTGGAGCGTGTTCAACCCGAATTTAACTTGCAAAGAGAAACACAAAATACTAGAAATAAAAAGGAGAAAATCGTAGTATAAATAATGAAGTTTCCTATAGAAATCGTGGAAACATTTATTATTTGAAGCATAGAACACCACAATCGTTTCACAAGTTATAAGTTTACTCGCGTTTCTAGCCAGGCTTGTTGTATTGCTTACCTTTAGAGTCATGCCCAATTAAGAATAACATAATCATCGAACAATTCGACCCAGTTAAAAAATCATTATCTGCACTCGGATGCTACACGCTGGGACAGCGAGTAACTAAACGATCTCTTATTATCACGTTTAATTGTTCGCTTGCTTTCTATGCCAGTGGAAAATAGAGTGCCTGAAGATTGCTTCTGAGAACGCGAATAAAACAATAAAGACGTTAATTAATCTTGCCCTCGAGACTCGACGCGTAATCACCATTGCAAATCTCTTTTGCAATTAATGAAATTCGTCCGAAATATAGACGATGGCGAGTTGGTATTTCGACGAGGGAACAGCAGGGGGAGATAATTGGCGAACGGGAACAGATTTTGGGAAAAGGGAGCGACAAAAGGATGGAATTTCGCTTTCGAGTGCAATAAATCGCACAGATTATCGGTGCAGTCTCGCGTGTTGTTCGTGTCGCGGTACCTTGGCACGTAAACGATGACGAGGAAGCGAAACAAGGGAACAACCGGGCACGTCTTGCACGCGAAAACACCTGCCATGCATTTTGCGTTTCGTGAGCGTATACACGTACGGCGATTTACTTGAACCTAAAAACGTGTCGTTTTCACTTATGTTTCACCGGCGTTTATTTATTACACGGCTGCAACTTTCTTTCTTCTTTGCGAGTAGCAATTGTTGCGTCGTAGCAAATTATTGGGCGTTTATAGGTGTCACGGTGTGTTGATCGCCCCATCACGAGACCGTGCAAATTGAGTATCTCTGCTCGTTTATTTATGTTTTGGAGTGGGTTGTTCTTAAAGTCATGTAGTCTTTATCAGAGGATGTTTGTGATTTGAGAGAACTTTTCACTGGACACTGATTGACATTTAGTCAATCTACTCTTGGGAGTATCTAGAGGTTTAATGAATTATCCATCGGTCGAATCGACTCAATTTCATTTGTGAACATTTATCTACCGACTCCAACACACCACACGGTCAAATGTCTTTCCTTTAACATTTCAACTTGAGAATTAATTGTTTTAATTCCACAGTGAAGACATGGCAGTCAAAGTCACATTCATAGTCCATATAAATTCCAAAAACAGTGAACCAAAACGATAAAAAAACGAATCGTGCGAGATAGATCGTGTCACCTAACATCGTCTAACCTTTACAATTGTTTCTGATTGAACCAGTGTGGCAGTGGCGTTGGCTCGACGGAAGGCGTCGTCGGAAGCGTTGGTGGTAGCTGCAGCAGCGGTAACAGCAGCAGCGGCAGTGGCATGGACTGCATGCCTCTACGCCCCGGGCCTTTTCACTACTTGATAAGCGAGCAGGCGAAGTCCTTGGTGGCCCTGCAGGAGCTACAGAATGAGGTCGGCGCGCTACTCGAATTCCGGGACCTCGTCATCGAGACGTTCCCAAACCTCCGGCACAAGATGGCCGCGACGGCGTCAGCGGGAGCGTCCGTGATGTCGTCCACCTGTGCCCAGAACTCCCACATCCCTTTGCCGCTGTCCAGCCCGTCGTCGAGGAGGATCAACGAATGGGAGCCGGGGAAGGTCAGGCGTCGAGTACCTCGAGAAGGCGGAGAGTCCTCGTCGTCGTCGTTGCCCAGGAGTCGCAGTAATTCGCACAGCGGCGGCACCAAGAACAACTGCAGCGCCACGGTACAGGATTCCGGCTTCAGCACGGAGACGTCGTCGAAGGATAGCGCCTCGACGGCGATAGCGCCTAGACCGAGCAGTCCTCGACCAGCAGTTTTGGACGAGGCTGAAGACGAGCTGTGGAACCTCCTGGACGTGATCCATCGCAAGGGAATCAGGCTCAGAGAGGAGGTGGAATGCCTTCAGGGTCGATTGGAGAGCGTGGCGCCGGAGGATCTGGCCTCGACGGATATCCTGGACGCCGTGAGAGAGGTTACGTGCTTGAACGGTGAAAGGACGACGACGATAACGATAGAAGACGGTACGGAGACGAAGGACGGAGATCCTCAAGTGGTGGCGCTCAGAAGAGAGAAGGAGCAGCTCCTGGACAAGGTGGCCGAACTCGAGGCGGAGACTATATCCAGTCGTGCCAGGGCGCAGGAGCTGCAGTCCGAGCTGGCGGCGCTCTCCGCGTTGAAGACGGGTCTGGAGGATAGGCTGAGGGCCGGACTGAACGAAACATCCTCGGATATCCTCACGCCTGGCGCGCAACGGCTGCAACTGATCGCTCCGGCGTTGTCCGTCGTCTCCACGCCGAAGAGCAACAACGTTAGCAACATCAAGAGCAAGTCGTCCGCGTTCGCCTCGGTGGCGACGTCCGCCAAGGCGCACAAGAGCCGTTTTCGTACGAGGACCATCGAGAAGAACGTTCTGTTGGACGTGAACGCCCACAACGACGAGCTGCGCGACATCGACATAGAGGCGAGCGTGAACGAAAGAAGAGCGAGGCTGGGCGCTCTGGATTCCGTCCTCGTGTCGCCAATGAGGATTGCTCATGTGAAGGACGTCGATTCCAAGAAGATTGCTGCCATTCTACGCGAAAACTCCCCCCTCGAGCTGCAGCGGCACTTGATCACCACTACCGTCCATAATCAGGTGAATTATCGTTACCCAAGACTGCATTTTCAGACACTTTTCGCGAATTCATTTCGAGGCTTTCGCGTTTTCTGTTCTCATTTTATCAGAGGTATAGGTTCTTCGGGGCACGAACCGTGTTCGTTTGAAACTTTTTCTCGACGTTTAAGCTATTTTGTTTCCTTTTTTTTTGTGAATCTGATTGCCACATTAGCGAAAGGTCAAAGTTAGTTTCCAAGTATAATAGCGTTACCTTTAGCGTTGCCTTTAGTCGAGTTCGTTTCTGACAAACGTTTGGAAATCAAAAGGAGGCAGTTTTAAAAAATACATCGGTAAATTACAGGTCCTACAAAAGAGGTTAGATGAAGTAGAGAAAAGCACGGAAACTCTCTCTGAGCGGCTAGATAAGGCACGCGAGGAGAATGACGACCTACGTTTCCAGGTAATTTGTATTATAAGATAGGTATAATTTTAATTACATTTATACGGTGCGATTACAAATATTCTTTTTATTTTTTTTTTAAATAGATTACAAAAGCATTCGAACGCGTAATTCTTGGAAGTCTAAAGTGTATAACGATATGAAACAAACAATAAGCTTTAACAGAAATATATCAATATAGATCAATTTCTAGAGACATATTAATGCTTTCAAATGAACGTTATACTATTTTGATCCAGGTCCTCTAACATTAGATACTAAGTAAAACAATGCCTTTGAGGCTTTAATTATAAGCATTTAAACACGCCTGTTATTCATTATCCCGTAAGTAATGCACTTTTTTCAAAATATAATTGGTTACGGAGTGTCAGCAATTAACCATCGACAGAAGATAAACGTGTTTTCGATTCCTTTTTTCTAGTCAGACTGTGAACCGTTTTAAATCGAGTTCTTGCAGAGATAAAAAATTGGTATTGCATAGTAATGTCAAACGCAGATGGCTAGTCATGCTGATGCACCGGTGCCATAATTAAAATCAAGATTATACGCGAAGAGAAATCTTTATTCTTTGTTTGAAGGAATATGGAAATAATTGTCCATTCTATGCAGCTTCACAACCGAATAATAATTAAGGAGTTTTATTATAAAGAATTAGACTGTTACAAATAAGAATTAGAAGTCTGGAAACTTTGTTCACACTGTTTAGAAATTTGTTTCGTTCAACGCTAGAACATTAATTTATTATTCTAAATTATATATAATAAGTCAAACGTAATTGAGAAGTTCTTTGGTGTCTAGTTAAAAGAAACAAATATTAAATTGATCAAACTTTTAATTTTTTATACTTTTTTTTAGATCCCCGAAGTTAAAAAAAGAACATGAAAAAATCGTTAATCTAACTTCAAAGTGCTGCTATTTTTTTAATTATCGACTTTTCTCTTTTATTTTGCTACCGGATATAGCCAAACTCATACTAATTAAGAATAAAGATTTTGATGATAGATAGAAGACATTTGAAGATTTCAAATTCAGTGTTAACTCAAATTTGAGGAATTTTTACTTACACCACTCTCAACCCACCAATTGCCGCTGGTTCTGCTGTCAAAAAACTCCACTGACCAAGTATAAAATGAATTCCTAAGATCATCCTCAATGTCACCGTCTCTTCGTCTCCGAAACTCCAAAGTGTAAACGAAAGATCGATTCGTCGACGAATCAAAAGACCCATATCCCGGCACGCAAGTCGCGAATACTAACGCAGTTTGTCACGTTTATGCGTATTGCAGCTGGAGGAGCGAAACATCGAGTTGGAGGGGACGCGTGCCCGCGTACGCGTGCTCGAGAGACTCCAGCAACGGCCTCCGACGGAAACGGATCCGGAGGCGGACGGAGAGCAGCCCAGATGCGAGCAGACCGGCCTCGAGCCTGGCAGCAGCACAGAGTCGGCCCGCGACCATCACCAGACCGTCGAGGTGAAACCGTCGCCTCGACGGCGTCCTAGTCGTATACCCTTGCCCGGCACCACGGCGAAGGCGACGGCCCCCAGACCGCCCAGCCACGGAAGGAACGATAGCAAAGAGTCGTTGAAGTCGTTAACGAGACCTCCGCGTGATTCTAGTCGCGACAGTCACAGCGGGAAGTCTCTGTCGAAGGCACGCGACTCGACGCGTGACTCCCTGGGCAACAAAAGCCTGACGAAGAACGGTAGCAACGGTAACGTCGGCGGCAGCAATGGGAACGGGAACGGAAACAGCAAGGAGACGAACAGGGAGTCCCTGAACAGGTCCCTGCCGCGTAACAATTCCAGCCGAGACTCCTTAAACAAATCCTCCTCGCTGTCCCGCGCCCGAGACTCGCTGGAGTCTAACAACCTCGGCACGTCCTCATCCCCGGGGACGACTCCTCCTCGACGACCGCCCGCTCCTGCACGCCGTTCCTACAGCCTGGCCCGCGGGTCAACGTCCGTTGATACAGAGAACGGCAAGGTACGATCCTTAAAGCAATACTTTTGGCCCAACTGGCTGAAGTCATCGTTGTCCAACGGCCCGATCCAGTAGAGAGTCCATCGTATCCTCTTCTCCAGGACGGCCGATAGTCGCTGTTAGGGATATCTGCTGCTTCTAATCGCGTCCCCGATTCCGAAATCCTTCCTGTCGCGCCTCACGGGGCCTCCTTGATCCTCGTCCATTCTCGACACGCTGACTTGTGCTCACCCGGAACGTTCGGTTAACATAACGAGAAACCATCGCTGCTGTCGCTAACTTTACGGTCAATTGGATTACTTTATTTTTTTTTTATACATATCGGTACAGCTGTTCGCTAGTCCCGCTGTTATTGGTTTCCATTGCGTCGTTGCGCGTGTAAATTAGCACGACTGGTTTCGATTCTAATCGCCGCGCCGTCACACTTCTCACAATCGTTCCTTCAACCGTTTTCCATTCTCGAGGCTCTCTGTCGTCGTTCTCATCCGCGGTTCCCGCATCCTCTAAACCGGTGTTCGTTCACGGGCGCGTCACATTCTTCCGGATAATGGAATCGTTTTCCGACGCAATCCTCCCAACACCCCCTTCATCGCCTCGACACGAATCATTCCCTGAAATCGTTATTCACACTCTGACGTACACAGAGACTCTCAACCGACACTTGCCTTAAAAACGACGAATCGCCCGACGAATCCACTACCAAAATGTCTGATCTGGAGCGCAGGCGAGCGTGCGTTCGAGCCCGTCCCCGGCGGTCGAATAAAGAACATGGCCCCTTCTCGCGTGCCGCCGGTTTTTCTCGTAAGTTATGCTTCTTTTATTATCATTTGCTTCGATGCTTCTTCCTGGATGTGGTGAGCTATAAGCCTTGTTTTATCCTGGTCTTCCTTCTATTTCGTCTTTTGATCAATAGTTCAATTAGTTTACCCTATCACCTTGAGTTTGGCATGCGCACGCACCCGTAGTGAGCCTCCCCCTACGATCCAACTATAATACAATTGGTCCGTACTTTGATCACGTTTCCTTTTTCCTTGGAAGGAAATTTTATCGGCGATTTTTACGTACATTTGCTGGAACAAGTGTTTTCAGGTGTTTGAGCACACTCGAGATTAGGTTAAGTGTGTTTTTCCCTGTTTGGAAAGCAGTCTGTTGACCCGGGGGGTAGGTCAACTCCTTAAATATTGTGATGAACGGAAAAAATAGGGTAATTCCAGCCAGCTGCTGTGTGGTATTTATGGTCGTTTCCCTTTATTACCCCCTAAGTATGATAATATTACACAGGGTGTTCTAGATTTCAACGGCCAAACATCAGCCATATTGGATTCACCGTTTTAAATTTCAGAAGCCTCCAAATACTGATTTTCTTTTACAGGTGACTAATATTTCGAGTAAATGAGTCTATTATCCACAATCAGCAGTTTTTCAATATATAATAATAAATTGTTTAACACATGGTTCCGAATATAATTTTGTTCACTAGAGGAATCTCTTGGCAGATTCGTGAAATTCGTGAGCTATTATGGTCGTCACCCTTGAGATAAAATAATTTTAGAATAATTGACAAACTATGATTTATCGAGTGCTATTATTTTCTGCATGAAAAAAATGGAGGTTTCAAAATTACCTCACCAAACTTTACTTTTATTTTTCTGCTCTCTCAAGCAAAAATTTTCCCTACAAAATTGTATGGGTGTAGATATATCTTTAGCTTCTTTGAAAAAGTGAGAAATGTATTTTAAGCAAAATGAGGCTAACGTTGAACGATGTTCTGAAATTGGTAAAAAATTGCAAAAATCCTACGATCCTCATAGTGGCCGGAATACCAAAATGATTAGCGCATATCAGCATGACACCTTGACATGAAGACTTGTTTTGCCTGCACCTCCATACCGCTTGCTGTCCGTATAGTCTGTCTACCTTGTGGTGGCCAGGCTGTTGTATCGTCCAAAAGGATCGATCCTGTTTTATCCTTGAACCGTTGACACCTCACACTCAACGATACACCGTCTTCGTTTTGGTCCAAACCTTTTGGCCCAATGTACCACCCTGTTACCTCGAGCCCTAATCGCACTACTATACCTGGGTAGTTGACAAAACTAGCAGTAGACAAAACTAAACTTTTACCATCTGGCTTCGGGACTCTTCTTACATTTAAATAGAAGCAACAACGAATATCTAACTACAAGAAACGATAGACTATAGACGAAGTTTCCTCCCGTTAACGATAAATCTAATTTCTTTATTACTTTTACTCATACTACAGTAGCGATACTAGTACATTGCAAGGTGCATGTGGATCGATACGAAAGGCTCTGTCGAATTTTGCAATTTTGTACGATTGAGCGATCAACTCTCGAAATACCAACATCAAAGTCGTAAATATTACCGGGTGCCTTGAATCGTCGTACTTTAATCAGATAATTGATGTGTAACCCGTTAACATCTCGAGTCGTTAGCGCGTCGAGTTACATGATTATTCGCGTAGCAGTAAATCACAAGATTCGACAGATCGTTTTGCCACGAAGCGAACACGGGGGATAATTTCTCCCTTCGACTATCCTCACGTCCGTTCCCTTTTATCTCCGTTCCTCCGTCGTATCATTACCTGTATTACAATTACGTATAAGAAAGAAACGAGCAATTTATTTAGCACGCACGTCCAACACGATATTACCGTAAATTTTCACGCCGTGCTAGCAAGAGCTCCCTTGTTTTGGATCACCATTAATCTTTCAGTTTGTTTGCTCTTTCATTTGCTGAAGTTTGATCTTATTTGCTAGCGTTGCTTGTATGCGGACATAGCCTCGAGAGCCATGACGTGGCTCGGAGTCGCACTTATAATGATTGATGTAAAGGAAAATGAATCGACCACACGCTTACCTGCTTGGCCTTGCGGTTCATTGTCCATCTCACGTTCAGTGCTACGCGTTACCACGACTTGAAATTCACTGTGTCAAATTTTATTACGTTCGACCGCGATCCCTCTTCTTACACTTTGCAGTGGCGATCGATCGTTTGCTTTGTCTTCGTTCGTCATCACCAAGCCATTTCGTAGGTCTTTACGTCTTTGATCGTTCGAACTTTTGGAGGGATCTACGAGAAAAGGGGGAAAAATGTCTGGGTTCATTTTTTAGAAATCAAAAATTTATGTAGTTATTATTATAGTGTATAACAAATCTAATTTTCACACTCATCGAAATAATGCAATCATTCGAAACATCTTCCACTTCTAGATTCACTGAGAAACTGACACTGCATAACACGAGCTTTTACCCGCCACTGCAAAGATTTGTATTCGAAAACTTAACTTACACTTTTCGAACCTCACATTTCCACGGAATCATTCCGACCCAAATTGGACATTTTTCGAGTAACATTTATATTTAAACGCATTTGAAAAAATTCATTTTAGAGTTGTTTCAGAAGCACAGAAATACTTTGTTCGATGTGTTCTAGAAACATTTTTATTCGTGTACTGTGAAATAATTTACGTACTTATTAACTAGAAGTATCTCATTCCTTATAATATTTTCTACTTTTACACATTTCAAATCACTATTGTTTCCTAATTCCTTAAGACATAGAGATCGTTAGAGTGTCATAAAGGGTTTCTTCGATAAAATGTCCCATTTGGAGCGCCACCGTCGATTCAGTGGCACCGGTAGTCGCGAGTATCGAGCAAAACGTGAGAGAACGCAACCAGCACTGATCACCGTGGGGGGGTTTTGTGTGTACTTGTGCCTCGGAGGAATTGCCGCGTGAATCGCAGTCCAAGTACACGCTACGTGCAAGTCTCGAAAAGTCGAAAAATTCACGGGTAGACGGAGTCGCCGGCCGCGAAACGCTAACGAGGACTGATGTTTTCCAGAGCTGCACCGAACCGCCGAGCTCCTGGTGCTCGACGAACGGGAGCTTCCGACACAGCGACTCGTCCCTGTACCCGGACTCCTTGAATCAAGAGACCTCGTCGGTGACTGGCTCCACGAAAGTGGAATTTATCATTGGTTCGCCGACCAGACGATTCAGACAGAGCTCGGTCTGGCCACATCGCTACTTCGACAGCATAGACTCCACGGCGATGCTGCCCGAGAGCCTTTTGACCGACGAGTTCTCCCTTCGTCGCGGCGAGGCACTCGCCGAGTGCGATTCCCTCGAGTGTCATCCGATTTCCAACGAGAGTTGAAGCTCCTGATTCTTTTAACCGGATTTTAAGAGAGAATCTTGGTAGTTCGGTCGGACCAGCAATTATGTCTACGTGTCCACTCGAGAGTTCTATTCTCGACGGTCGTTATCGACACTGGGGAACTATTTTTACGTGGGCACACACACACGCGAGAGATCTGCATTGCTGGCAGTTGTTCTCGACCATCGTTGTACTCGGTTTCCGTATACAAAAAGTCTCTTAACCCTCCATGATCGATGATCCTTTTATAATACTCCCAACGCGTAGCAATGATAAATAAGCAGTCGATCGTTAACGGTTCATTTTTATCTATCACGTTCACTGGTTTATGGGTCGAACGTGGCCCACTCTGGACTTTCGAGAACCGAATGTAATGGTAAATTGGTTCGTATGGAGTAAATAAATATTTTAATTGAGTTGATGCAGATATCGTTTCAACACAGGTTGAATAAAATATAGTGAACGTGTTAGAGAGTTTTGGTACCCAGGATATGATTCTCGAGTGTACACGTAGCGTTAGAAAAATACAACTCGAAGGTTGATGTTTGACGTATATTTAAAAAGACCATCAATCTGTACTTGAAATGCGAGGAAGAATGATCAGAGTTTGGTTGATTCCGTTACCATCGCTATGCGTGAGTGGAGAAGGATGTTTGAAGGATGTGGACTGGGAAATTTAAACTTATGATTTTGACGCTGTTACTTAATTTTGTGTACATCACGAGAGACGTAAACGAGCGAGAGCGTTAACCTTTGGGTGCAGATTGAGGATTTGTCTATTAGTCCAAGGCATCTGGTTTCTTTATTTATTGTATCAACTTCCTTGATACGATAAAGAGGGGTAGAAAATTTAAACCCTCTGTAATCCATCGATAAACTCTGAAAGTGGAATATAAATTATATCTTAATTTTTAATAAAAGTTTGAAAATATTCGATGATACTGTTGCTTCGAAATCAAATAAAATCTTCGAGAATGCAACTAATTGGCATGATTTCAGAGACATACAGGGTTACAGAGGGTTAAGGTGCATAAATTCAAATATTTGCATCAGAAAGAAAAAGTATCTCCATAAAATAAGTATCATATTTATTTTTATAGGTCGTCATAACTGAAATCGTTGAACTACAGTTTATTTGTTCCATTAAGTAAAATATAAGACCAAGGAAGAAGTCTTTACTTAACTTTTTTAATTAGCAAATATTCTCAATAGACTTAAACAAATATTACGTTAGAAATTTTGCAAAACAAAGTGAATAAGTTTCGGTTTAGACATTATTTCCAAACCTTGTATTTGACTGAAGGAAAAGAAAAATATTTCTACTTCCCCAGAAACTGATGTCGAGGATTAGTAATAACGAATTCAAAATACCAAGATTCTTGCAATGCAAAAGAGAAATCGACGATCAAAGAGAACGCGTGTGCTAGTTATTTTTACAGCAGCCTATCGTACTATCTCTCATTAACCATTGTGTTTCACTTTCATTTCACACTTGGACTGCATTTTTGTTGTGCAGATTTATTGCGCGGGAATATATTAATCGGGGTTTAATTTATATACGTCGCGCGCTATGGAATTGTGTCATATTATACGTTGTCGACTCACCGACGGGCAGCAAAAAATTTAATTGGCCTTTAAGCGTTACTGGCAAAAAACATGAGTTTGCACGCGAAAATTAAAAATAACGTATGATACACCGACGTGTGTTCATTGTTTGTATCGAATGACATACGATGCGTAAAATTCATAAATAGTCCTTTTTCGTTTGTACGGGTGCAATTTCTTTTTAAACATTTGACAAGGTAGCGTGAAATTTTAACAGACTGACGAAAAAAACAAAATTACATCGCGAGACTCATCGTTTTCTCAGTTTTTGTTCCGTGTCGTGGACGGTGGACACTTCCCGTGAACGAAATTTTAAGCTATCCGGGAGCTTAAATATTATCATGATCTATAATCGAGTGTATCAAGTATGAAATCTTTTTCACGCTCGAATGAAAATAGTTTGATATTCTTTAGTCATTCTTAAATCTCGAACTATACATTTTATATTGATATTTTATATTATTTCGTTATTCGTTTTTAATACCATTAAAATAATAAAATCTATTTGCAACTTTATATGTGATCATTCTTCGGAGTTGAGCGACTTTTGTTGCATTTATTCATGTAGACTTTCATTCGAGTAATTTGATAGATATTTCCACGCAGTATATATCATAATTATGAATCGTAATCGAGGAAAATTATCCTTCCACGAAACATTTTGTTTGTTCTGTAAAATTTATTTGCCAGAAGAAGTATTCGCTAAACTCCGATCCTCTTAGTACAAAATTTCGAAACTTCAAGTATTCTTTGAAAAGTATCACTCATATTTTAGAATCGTCGATTTTAAACGATTTTTATAATTCGATAAAGAAAATACATTTTTTCAGATCGTACGACGTACTAAACAATTATTCAATGCATAGTTATAGAACCAACTTCAAGGATGAGTTTGTTCGACAAACTTTCGATTACTTGATACACGGTCCATAAAAGAATGTTTGTTTCTTATTTCCAATCGACTGTTAATGGACTTTTTGAGGCGTGCATTTCCGTGCATTTTACATTTGTATCTTTATATCTTAAGACTGTACCTATCCGCTGATACAAAAATCGTCATCGTCGAACTTTTGTCGTAACTGTAATCGGCGTTACGAAAATGTTCTTACTGTTCATATCCACTAAGCTAATTCTATTAATCTTTTCGCGACTGTTATTTGTTTCTAGTTGAAGATTTTTACAAACGTTTTAAATTATTTTAGCTGCAATTTTCTTGTCTTTCATTTAACAAATTTAGATGATATTTTTTTGTATTCTTTTTTTATATAAGCATAGAAATGTTTTTTATTTTGAAGAAAGTGTTTGATGTTTTATTATTTCCATATAATTAATTGGAAATCACGGAATGAAATTTATACAATTTATTTTAATCGAGAATATGAACTCTATTCGCTTGGAACTTGTTATATTTAAGCGAAGATTCGTCAACGATTTTGTTGAAAATAGTGCAATATTAGTTAGAAAATAGAAAATGGGATATTCGTTCCACAAATTGATTGATCGTTCGTGTTTTGTTTTGAGGAAAAAAAAAATATAGTAGTATTACAAATTGCAGCGTAATCGTTACTTTGCTCTTTTATTTTCCAATTCGTGTAATTATGCGTCACGCGCGGGAAGGTTGATAAGAATTAGCATCGGATGATATTACGACCACTAGCACATTCCATGCTGCGAATTCAAAGAACAACAATCTCGTATTCCATGTAGCATTTGTACCTTTCGTTTAAACTTTCGCGTTGTAATTAATATAATTTATTTATTGTGTGCGTGTGAATTGCGGGCCTGTCGAACGTTTGTGGAAACCGAACATTGATCGTATACTCTTCGACTCGAAAAAAAAACCACGCGAAAACGAACAAAGCACAGAAAATAGGGTTGTTCGAACGTACGAGTAGATTGTCTGGAAGTTTTTTCGGGATTACACATATCACGCGTGGTGAGATGAAAGTATATCTATCGACGACCATATTATATATTCGCTCACCGCGCGACGTTGGACATCTACGAATCTTGGAATTTGAATCGAGTCTTTTCTTAATTGTTCGAAGCATTCGAAGGGTTCCGAAACGAAGTTTGTAAAATACTTTCGTATTTAAATCGTAATTATTTTTTTAAATCCATTTAGATCCTTTACATTGTATCGTTCGAATATATTAAATTACGATATTTGGAATTTGAGATTTTAAAATAGATTTAGCCTTTAAGCAAGCTATTTTGTATTTATGTCACATCGAACCTTTCGAAAGCTTGGAAGATCGGAAACGATCGACGATTGAAAAAGCAAACCGCGTGCTCGACTGAGAAATACCGCGCGACGTAAGCGACCGGAGAAAGACATTTCGAAAGCGAGTGAGCATCGTTGTTTCTTTTTTATTATAAATGTATTCGTTTAGTGCACACCAGGTTGCGGGTTCACAAGATTCCATTAGTCGGAACGTAACGCTTTACGGTGACTCGACGAAAACTACTACGTACCACACAGTTCCTTGCTTCAACCAATTTTCGTTATTTATAAAAAAAGAAAAAGTGAGGATAAAGGGCGACGATCGCGAAACCATCGAGCGTACGTTTAATCACAGAGCTGAACCTGTGATCCTAGTTGTATAAATATTACCGCGCGAACTATGTGATTAACTTAGCTGAACTGATAGGACTGACGGACTTTACTTATTATCTTAGTGCCTAACTATTATTACGCGAACAGAAACCAAAATCGAAGCCGTTCGACTCGTGATGGTTTGATTCTTCTTAGCCGCCGCCGCCGCCGCCGCCGCCGCCGCCATCTTTGTCGTCGCGTTCGACGAATGATCATAAAAAAAAAAAAGAAAAGAAAGAAAAACGCGACGAAGAGAAGAAAGAAAAATAACAATGCTCAGATACTAATTAATTGTTCGTGCGAGCAGCTGGCGGACTTCCGTGTGCCGACTGAAGGCTATTATTTTTATACCATAATTAACGACTGTGAGAACGAAAGCGAAAGAGAGTGTTGAGCGAACTGCGCCGACGTTAGCAGCTTCCTTTTTCTCGATGATAGTTGTTTCATCGTCGTTGTATTATACTTGATCCTAGCTTACTCGTTGGTCGGCCCGCGCCATCGCGCTCGGGTTCACATTGACTATTGTTTTATTACCGACACACCGTCATCATTTGTATATGTATATACGTACGAAATCGTGAATTATTTAAAGTTAGTTTAATGTACAGAAAAATCTGTGTAAACGATATCTGCGATAATGTGATTCGATTAATAAATACGATATTACGTAGCGAGACCGAGTTCCCTTTTCCGTTCGCGATTAAACTTCCGGTCGTTTTGGTTGTTCGACTCGTCGACAGTCGTGTTTCATTTATGCCTCCAGTTTTTATTTTTTTAATAAGTTTACATTTTTTTTTAAGGGGTCTAATTTGGAGATTTAGCAAATTTGTTCTTTTTACATTTTCTAGTCGTAGGGTTTTAGAAATGAAAAGTTATCAATGACTGTCTCTATTATTTGCAAATGATAGTTGTTTTCGTGGGTTTGAATATAGTGAAATGGGATTTATTTAGTTAAATATACGCATTGCAAGCAGAGTCGTGGAAAATGTAATCTGATTACTTAATTTTCTGTTATGATTTCAACGTAATTGCACGATTTAATGATTTATGCGTAAATGGTAATTACTGTGTGATCATTTCGAAATTGTAATTACAAACACATGATCAGACTGTATTTTGCCGAAGCATCTCTTGAATCTCATTATGTTTATTTATATTAGCGTTGGTAAATATTAACGGTGGCATATGTAAATGAGATTCTATCGGCTTTAATGGCTTAATCAGGGATCGAAAAAAATAGGTGCTTCTTTTCTTAATTTTATTTGAATTTATGTTTTGTTTACTAGTAGGGCCTTTTCAAAATTCATTCTCGTGGAACAGATATTTTAGAATTTGTCATTGCAATAATTTAACGAATGAAATATTTTTGTGTCTATTCAGTTATGGATAATGGCATTATGATCGAAGTATTCTTAATATTTTTTTACAGGCGAGTATTTCGTTCTAATTTCAAAATATTTCGCGTTTAAAATTGTGTTGTATGAATATAATGCAACTATCTTCAGATTATTGAAGTTCCCTTAGTGTAGTTCACTTCGTCATGCCACATTTGTGATGTTTAAATATTTATTAAGGTTATCTTGCATCATGGTTTAATAATCAGCTTCGGTGAGTAATAATTATTTCATGAATTTAAGAAACTTCATGAATAACATATTAGTAGAATATGTTAAATGTCTGCAGGAATTGTAACGAATATTTTTGAAGACATTAATACCGTATTTGATATTTAAATAAATTAGCTTAAGCGTAGTCACATGTGTCAAGAAACAATAAATGTATTAATACCTTATTAGAAAAAGTACTTACGTTTGGACCGTATACATTTTTTTGAATGGCTTTTTAGCAATCTGTCATTTTTTGAGAAAGCTGTCTAGATACCAAAGTTAATCTTCATGATAATCATAAATGATTATATTTCAAATTGTCATCGATTGTATTCAAATTGTATCGTTTTAACAAATTTAGAATCACTGTAGAAATTCGTTTTATAAAATTCTTTGCATTGTAAACAACATATATACTTATTTATAAGAAGGGGATAGTATAAATGAATATTATATGCAAGAATCGTAAGCTTCCTTAATCGCACTTATTTAAAAAACAACAGAAATAATTCCAAATTCATAATTTGAATTTGTGTTATACCAGGTATTATGATTCACTGTTTTTAAAAGATGTTCCCATCTCTACAATTTTATCAAATTGCACGATCTAAGGTATCCAATTATTATACTTAGCTTGTCTGCTAATAAAATTTGAAAATCGCATTTAAATTCTTTCCACAAAAAAAGTGACAAAAAGTTTAGTTTATCGTACAGTTCGTTTCGATCCAATATTGTATAAAAAGACTGTGAATCACGTTGCAAAATGTACGCCACAGAAATGGAGAATAAAGTTAGACGATAGTTGAGGTTGTCTGGAAGTTGAAGCAGAAGCCGTGTCCGACAAGGAAATTCTTTCAATGTCCACAGATGCCAGAGCAGCGAAGGACACGATAAATAAAAGTCGATTACAAAACACGAGGATAAAAGAACGGATTTCGCTAAATCCAATATCGTAGCTTGCATTCGATTCGAGGCACAATTAGAGTAATTAAGCTGACAGAAGAAATAAAACTAGCAGCTTGCGATTCACAAGATCGTAGGTATTCTGCAATAAGTTCGTAGTATTTGTTTCTTAATTACCATACAGTTTCACCTAGTTTATGCTTGTACGATATAGGATAATATTCTGTTTGTCGCTCTGTTAAAGGTAATTCATTATTGAGAGTCGAGGACGACTTCAGTGTCGGATTATATTATAATAGTAAGTATCTTTTTGCTGAAAATCTTTAAAAACGTGGAAGCAAAATCAATATTTTATATCTTACTTATTCGAATAAAGCTCTTTAGGTGCTCAGATTCCCCGGTTATTGACATAAATATTTACATAAATTTTATTTTGCTTTTCCATACATATTGCTTCTTTTTGTACTAAAGGCCTCGTGAATAAATAACAAGTCCAGTTAAAGATCCTCGAGAACTCTTGAACTTAAAAAAAAACAGAATACTATAATAATTATTCCTAGTTTTTTCAAAATACTGCTGTTGTAAAAGATCGTACAAAATTTCTGCGATTATATTACTTTTTTCCCCCGTGAATAAATTAATAATAATTGAGATTAAATAGTTTCGATAGATAAATAATAGTCCAGTTAAAGATCCTCGAGGATCCTAGAACATACAAAAAAAAAATAGAATACTATAATAACTATTCCTAGTCTTTTCAAAACACTGCTGTTGCAAAAAATCGTATAAAAATTTTGCGATCATATTATCTCTTTTTCCCATGAATAAATGAATAATAATTACGATTAAATAATTTTTATAGACAAACAAAAGTCCAGTTAGAGATTCTCGGGGGCCACAGGAACTTAAAAAAAAGAATAGAATGTTATAATAACTATTCCTAGTCTTTTCAAAACACTGCTGTTGTGGAAGATCGTACAAAATTTTTGCGATCATATTATCTCTTTTCCCCGTGAATAAATGAATAATAATTAAAATTAAATAATTTTTATAAACAAACAACAGTCCAGTTAGAGATCCTCGGGGACCCAGAAACTTAAAAAAAAAAATCGAATTCTATAATAATTATTCCCTAGTCTTTTCAAAACACTGATGTTGTGGAAGATCGTACAAAATTTCTGCGATTTTTTTACTTTTTCCCCCGTGAATAAATTAATAATAATTGAGATTAAATAGTTTCGATAAATAAATAATAGTCCAGTTAAAGACCCTCGAGGATCCTAGAACATACAAAAAAAAAATAGAATGCTATAATAATTATTCTTAGTCTTTTCAAAAGACTGCTGTTGCAAAAGATCCTATAAAATTTTTGCGATCATATTATCTCTTTTTCCCGTGAATAAATAAATAATAATTAAGACTAAATAATTTTTATAGACAAACAACAGTCCAGTTAGAGAATGCTACAATAATTATTCCTTAGTCTTTTCAAAACACTCGCTAAAGTTTTTGCAATCGACGCGTTAATTAATAACCCAGCGCAGATCGGACTTTACGCTAAAAACTCTGTGCAGGGAACAAGTATGGTTGTTCGTTGTTGAATCTTCTCAGCTAGAATCGTCTCAGGTCAAGCTACGGAACTCTGTCATTGCACGGCGGTGCACGAGGTCGTCGATTAAAATTCAGTCGCCTTCACCTGTCGGACATCGTTGGAAGTCCAGGAACGAAACTTCCGGATATTTCATCGAAGGGGGGGGGGCGAAGGACCTTGCGGAGTTCTTCGGAACTCGTGATATGGCCAACAAGTGAGGCTTCGCGAGACCCACTTCGTAACGCCATTTATTTGCGTTCCTTCCCGATGATATGTTCTCCAAGGCGAGAACCACGGAAACCGCGGACAGGGACGCGGAAGAGGATTACGATCCCGTCGCTCATCGTCCCCCAGGACCCCTGACCACGTAATAAAACCACATTTTCCACGGTTTTCTTTTCTCTCTAACGTCGAATCGGTGTTTCCACATACACCTTTGACAAGCAATGAACAATGACATCGCGTTGTGCCTCGACTCGCAACGAGATCTGGTTGCAGCGAGAATTTTAAACACAGCCCGGCGAAAAAGAGTCCCCGTACGACGCATTAAAATTTAGTTAACGTTTTAGCGAGTCCAACGGGGAAAGGGACAATGTTTACGGTATCATGTTTTGGATAACGTTTATTATTGGCGAGCATGAAAGTTTACGTTTATTAACGGTTAGACTGAAGAGTGGGGAAAAGTAAATCTCGCATTTATGTTTATTTAGAACCACAAAAATTGAAGAAAAAGTATAAGAAAACAATTGTAACGATTCGGTGGAGTATGTAGAAATAAAAAATTTTGGTAAGATATATACATATAAGTTAGGTTCTTGTTTGTCGGCTGATAGATGTTCAATGATTCAAATTGAAATTTATTTGATTAAAAATTGACAATGTGTGGGGCCAAACAGGTGCCCCAAAGAGGAACGTGTATTCGGAAGAAAATTTATTTGTGTACCGATACTGAATCGAATAATTACGAAATTAAAATGTCGAAGCCTTTTATTTTCTGTTTTATAGAAAGAAGGTGATATTTTATACGAGCAAGTATCGTGTTATTTCTGATCGAATTGCAAAATTCTTTTTTTAGAGATTTCGCTGCAATGATGCATTTGCTGAAAGCCTCGGTGGGAAATGGGATGCTCATCCTGCCAAATGGATTCAGAAGATCCGGCTACGTGATGTCAATAATCTGCAGTATTTTTATAGGCTTGTTATGCACCCACACAGTTGTGGGATTGGTAGGTAACTCAGACTTGCATTTTTAATTTTATCACGGTTCAATAAAATTACTTTTATCGATCAGTCAAATATTAAAAACTATTGGATAGTTCAAGATGTACTATTTACTATTATTAGGACTCTTCGATCATGAATTAGCAACCCCAATCGATGATCACCAATCTAGATTTACTTTTATTTTTATTTTATTGATTGCACTATCGTAACTAAAGAATTTTAAAACCAATTTCATTATCATTTTAAATATAAAATTGACAAATATAAAAACGAGAATATCTGGTGACGTTGCAATGATAAAAGTCAAATATTAAAAACTATTGGATAGTTCAAGATGTACTATTTACTATTATTAGGGTTCTTCGATCATGAATTAGCAACCCCAATCGATGATCACCAGACTAGGTTTACTTTTATTTTTATTTTATTGATTGCAGTATTGTAACTAAAGAATTTTAAACCAATTTCATTATCGTTTTAAATATAAAATTGACAAATATAAAAATGAGAATATCTGGTGACGTTGCAACGATAAAAGTCAAATATTAAAAACTATTGGATAGTTCAAGGTGTATTATTTACTATTATTAGGACTCTTCGATCATGAATTAGCAACCCCAATCGGTGATCACCAATCTAGGTTTACTTTTATTTTTATTTTATTGATCGCAGTATCGTAACTAAAGAATTTTAAACCAATTTCATTATCATTTTAAATATAACATTGACAAATATAAAAATTAGAATATCTGGTGACGTTGCAATAATAAAAGTCAAATATTAAAATCTATTGGATAGTTCAAGGTGTACTATTTACTATTATTAGGACTCTTCGATCATGAATTAGCAACCCCAATCGATGATCACCAGACTAGGTTTACTTTTATTTTTATTTTATTGATTGCAGTATTGTAACTAAAGAATTTTAAACCAATTTCATTATCGTTTTAAATATAAAATTGACAAATATAAAAATGAGAATGTCTGGTGACGTTGCAATGATAAAAGTCAAATATTAAAAACTATTGGATAGTTCAAGATGTACTATTGACTATTATTAGGACTCTTCGATCATGAATTAGCAACCCCAATCGATGATCACCAGACTAGGTTTACTTTTATTTTTATTTTATTGATTACAGTATGGTAACTATAGAATTTTAAACCAATTTCATTATCGTTTTAAATATAAAATTGACAAATATAAAAATGAGAATGTCTGATGACGTTGCAATGATAAAAGTCAAATATTAAAAACTATTGGATAGTTCAAGGTGTATTATTTACTATTATTAGGGCTCTTCGATCATGAATTAGCAACCCCAATCGATGATCACCAATCTAGGTTTACTTTTATTTTTATTTTATTGATTGCAGTATTGTAACTAAAGAATTTTAAACCAATTTCATTATCGTTTTAAATATAAAATTGACAAATATAAAAATGAGAATGTCTGGTGACGTTGCAATGATAAAAGTCAAATATTAAAAAATATTGGATAGTTCAAGGTGTATTATTTACTATTATTAGGGTTCTTCGATCATGAATTAGCAACCCCAATCGATGATCACCAATCTAGGTTTACTTTTATTTTTATTTTATTGATTGCAGTATTGTAACTAAAGAATTTTAAACCAATTTCATTATCGTTTTAAATATAAAATTGACAAATATAAAAATGAGAATGTCTGGTGACGTTGCAATGATAAAAGTCAAATATTAAAAAATATTGGATAGTTCAAGGTGTATTATTTACTATTATTAGGGTTCTTCGATCATGAATTAGCAACCCCAATCGTTGATCACCAATCTAGGTTTACTTTTATTTTTATTTTATTGATTGCAATATCGTAACTAAAGAATTTTAAACCAATTTCATTATCGTTTTAAATATAAAATTGACAAATATAAAAATGAGAATGTCTGGTGACGTTGCAATGATAAAAGTCAAATATTAAAAAATATTGGATAGTTCAAGGTGTATTATTTACTATTATTAGGGTTCTTCGATCATGAATTAGCAACCCCAATCGATGATCACCAATCTAGGTTTACTTTTATTTTTATTTTATTGATCGCAGTATCGTAACTAAAGAATTTTGAACCAATTTCATTATCGTTTTAAATATAAAATTGACAAATATAAAAATGAGAATGTCTGATGACGTTGCAATGATAAAAGTCAAATATTAAAAACTATTGGATAGTTCAAGATGTATTATTTACTATTATTAGGGTTCTTCGATCATGAATTAGCAACCCCAATCGATGATCACCAGACTAGGTTTACTTTTATTTTTATTTTATTGATTGCAGTATCGTAACTAAAGAATTTTAAACCAATTTCATTATCGTTTTAAATATAAAATTGACAAATATAAAAATGAGAATATCTGGTGACGTTGCAACGATAAAAGTCAAATATTAAAAACTATTGGATAGTTCAAGGTGTATTATTTACTATTATTAGGACTCTTCGATCATGAATTAGCAACCCCAATCGGTGATCACCAATCTAGGTTTACTTTTATTTTTATTTTATTGATCGCAGTATCGTAACTAAAGAATTTTAAACCAATTTCATTATCATTTTAAATATAACATTGACAAATATAAAAATTAGAATATCTGGTGACGTTGCAATGATAAAAGTCAAATATTAAAAACTTTTGGATAGTTCAAGGTGTACTATTTACTATTATTAGGACTCTTCGACCATGAATTAGCAACCCCAATCGATGATCACCAGACTAGGTTTACTTTTATTTTTATTTTATTGATTGCAGTATTGTAACTAAAGAATTTTAAACCAATTTCATTATCGTTTTAAATATAAAATTGACAAATATAAAAATGAGAATGTCTGGTGACGTTGCAATGATAAAAGTCAAATATTAAAAACTATTGGATAGTTCAAGATGTACTATTTACTATTATTAGGACTCTTCGATCATGAATTAGCAACCCCAATCGATGATCACCAGACTAGGTTTACTTTTATTTTTATTTTATTGATTACAGTATGGTAACTATAGAATTTTAAACCAATTTCATTATCGTTTTAAATATAAAATTGACAAATATAAAAATGAGAATGTCTGATGACGTTGCAATGATAAAAGTCAAATATTAAAAACTATTGGATAGTTCAAGGTGTATTATTTACTATTATTAGGACTCTTCGATCATGAATTAGCAACCCCAATCGATGATCACCAATCTAGGTTTACTTTTATTTTTATTTTATTGATCGCAGTATCGTAACTAAAGAATTTTAAACCAATTTCATTATCATTTTAAATATAAAATTGACAAATATAAAAATGAGAATATTTGGTGACGTTGCAATGATAAAAGTCAAATATTAAAAACTATTGGATAGTTCAAGATGTACTATTTACTATTATTAGGGCTCTTCGATCATGAATTAGCAACCCCAATCGATGATCACCAATCTAGGTTTACTTTTATTTTTATTTTATTGATTACAGTATGGTAACTATAGAATTTTAAACCAATTTCATTATCGTTTTAAATATAAAATTGACAAATATAAAAATGAGAATGTCTGGTGACGTTGCAATGATAAAAGTTACACGATTTCCAGCGATCGTTTTCTTTCTCGATTCCAATGTTTGCAGAGCATTAATTGTAGAAAGAATCGAACAGTGGTGAGATCGTGTCTAAAAACGAGTTCTTTGGATGCAGGTGCGAAACTCTCAGGTGTTATGTAGGCGCAATCGCATACCGATGCTGGATTTCGCCAAAACGGCTGAGGTCTCGTTTCAGAGTGGTCCTCCGTGGATTCGAAAGTATGGGAAAATTTTCGGTATTTTTACCAACATTTTCGTGTGCATCGTTCACTTCCAGGCTGCCGTGATATACATGCTCTACGTGTCCACCTCTTTTCAGCAAGTGAGAAACAAGCCTTAATGTCCTTCTCTATCGACGGATTCAGGCTGAGGTCGCTCGAGCGATTTTTCATAGGCTATCGACGAAACGAACGATAGTTTACATTTTCTAAAAATTAGTATCCTCCGTTTTCGTACCCTCGAGAAACAGTAAAAGTCCAAAAAGCACGGTGTGAGATGTTTCAAGAGATTTAGTTTTCATTGATTTAATAGCGTCATCCGATTTATTATTACAGATTACACTTTTTGTAAATAATACAAATTCACGATGAATTCTGTACAAAACTTTCCATTTATAATTGCGAAATACAGCCTCGTACTCATATTGAATATTTTTATTTCAATCGATTCGTTGATGCATATCGAGAGGACGTCTGCAACCGCAGTTCTACTCGCGTTGCATTTACAAAACCACTTTCGGAATACGTAAAAAGTTTGAGCTACTTAAATATTATTGCTCGAGCGATTTAATGCCTTTACCAATGACGAACGAAAACTGCCATTCGACCTTCCTTCTTTTTCTTAGAAAATTTTCAGTATCGAAAACAAATATTCTAAACCCAAGAGAACCAATAAACAAAATAAAAAATATTCCACTTAGATTACAGTGCACAAACTTGCAGTAGTTTACCCAAATACTTTAATTATATTATTTTCTAAATAATTACCATATAAATTTTCCATTTTTACTAAATATTTCTCGTTTTACTTATTTACAGTCCACGAAATTAAGTCCACCCAGGAAAATTCTGTTTTCCAACTATAATCCCGTGTTATAAATTGCAAATCGTCTTCGACTGCTCAAATTTTTCTTCCATATCAAAATGACTATCCATACCCAGAAATTGGTTAATATTTTACTATCATTCTGAGTCGCATAGAGACTTAATTTACTCTCATTAAAAAACACCCCTTCTCTTTCGCGACCAAAAAATTCAAACTCAACGCGAATCTAATGAAAAATAAAATCCAATGAAGAACAGTGTATACATAGCATACCAGAAATTAATACTTAATAAATAGAAGCACTGAAAATGTTAAAAATTTAGTGTGGATCTAATTCGATGGTCCTTCGAAGTATTTTGTCGTTCGTACAAAAATTGAAGTTCTCAAAATTGTGTTTTGTCTTGGCTCCAACGAAAGTATAAGTCGAGTTTGTGTTCCAGGTGATCGAGTTCCTTTCCGGTTTCGAAATGGATGTGCGAGTCTACATATTGGCCCTGTTCCCCTTCGCCTGTGGACTCGGTTTCGTCCCGAACCTGGCGTACCTGACACCATTTTCCATAGTGGGTTTTCTATTCATGCTCGTCGGCATTTGCATCGCCTTTTATTATCTGCTCGACGATATTCCCGATCCTGGAAGGCTGCAGGCGTTCACGCACGTGATGCCTGTGCCGATGTATTGCAACTTGATGCTGTACGGTCTGCACAACGTGACCCTGTGCATGCCGTTGGAGAACTCGATGAAGAATCCGCTCCATTTGCCATGGATAGTAACGTTCAACATGCTGTTTAATACCGGCATGTACACGGTATTCGGCTTCCTCGGTTACAACAAATACATGAACGACACCTGCGACACGGTGATCAAGAATCTACCGAACGAGGAAATGTGAGTCCCTATTCCATTTCACATTTCCAGACACTTCCTTCCATCCAATCATTCATGTTCACTAATTGTGGGGAAGGCTATGGTGGAACAGAATTGAACAATGAACTTTAAAATTTTTACAGTAATCGATTTGGGGGAAAAGATTACAGGTGTTTGTCAAAATAACACTATTCACAATTAACTGTTGGCATCTAGAGAAAAAGTAGTCGAGCTAAAAATTAGACTAGCCTGAACCTAATAACGGAATATTAACAAAACGAACGAGGAGCGTGTTAATCATCTGATGAGGTCTAGGTTAGTCTAGGTTTTAGCTCGATTTTAAAAATAAAGATTACAGGTGTTTGTCAAAATAACACTATTCACGATTAACTGTTAGCATCCAGAGAAAAAGTAGTCGAGCTAAAAATTAGACTAGCCTGAACCTAATAACAGAATATTAACAAAACGAACGAGGAGCGTGTTAATCATCTGACTAGGTTTAGGTTAGTCTCGGTTTTAGCTTGATTTTAAAATAAAGATTACAGGTGTTTGTCAAAATAGCACTATTCACAATTAACTGTTGGCATTTACAGAAAAAGTAGTCAAGCTTAAAATTGGACTAGCCTAATCACAGAATATTAACAAAACGAACGAGGAGTTAAATCTGTGATTGGATTTGCAGAACATTTTCCCACTTTATTTTATGCAAGCGTTGTACACGTTTCAGAATGTTGATTTTGAGATAATTTGACCGAATGGAACGAAGAAAAAGCATAGTGCACCGATTATCCTGTTTCAATGACTGATGCACATGCCAGTTTTTCCTTGCGTTGAGCGATGCTTACTTTGACGCAACGCGAAAACACACGAAAGTCATTTTTAATATTACTCGATCGGGAAAATCCACGATTGTAAAATATTGTGGCAACTCTAAGTGGGGAAAAAGGCGCGTAGACACTCCACAACTGTGACATTCGATGTGTATCAGTCTCCTCTGGTTTATTAAAAATTATATGCCTTAGCTACCGGTTTCACAACTCGAAAATAGGTATATTAATTCCTTGGAAGTTATTTTGGAATTATTTCGATATTTAACAACGATAAGTTTCCCAAAATAATTAAATAAATACAGGGGTGTTCGTTGGAAAACTTTGAATCTAAACATCTCGAAAGCAACACATTTTCAGGAAAAATTTTAAATACAAAAGATGCCCACTTTCAAGGAGAAAACACAATTATTTTATTTATTTTTGATTTGTTAAACGATTTCAAGGTTACTAACCTTGTTTTTTAAAATAGAAACCTATATTTCTATTTACAGATTCTTATTCCACGCAAAGAAAGAACAAACTTTTGTACGAAACATTTTTTCATCAAATTTTATCTTACATGAGTATTTAACAAAATAAAAAATCTAGGATCCCACATTTTCAACAGTTTAAAAGAAGCATTTAATTCAGGAAAACAACACGAATATGGTGAAAACACTACTAAAACATAGACACATCAGGAGAGTATTTAACAACGGGATTTCAAATCTGATAAAAGGAGAATTCTCGCCATCGACGAGAAAAAGTAATCGATTTGGTTCAGGATGATATCTTTCTAATCGATAATTGTCGCGACGTAATCTAGGTCTCACGTCGAATTAGTCTGTTGAATCGGTTTTGCGAAATTATTGGATAGCTATTAAAATCGGTACCGATGTCATCGTAATCAGACATCTCGTGCGATAAGCTTTATCGTTTTAATTAATAACATAACATTAATGTATGATGCGTTATCCCGAATGGTCGTGTCTATGAAAATTAATTGAGTGATTGAAGGAATTTGCGAAGTCCACGGACAATGGAAATTTACAGAAGACATCGAACTCTGAGCACGTCGACATTTGCAACATTAAAGTACTATAGTAAACGTTATTGCACGAATTATTAGCAATTTCTTTCGCTATTTGTTTCTATCTCAATAATATTTAAAAGAATATTTACGAAGAAATGGCGGACTTTGACGACATTTTCATAATATCAAATTTCTCGAGTTCCAATCGAAATATTTTCAAAATTAATTGGATATCTGGGAAACCTCTCTTGTAAGTCCTAATCCTCTCACTCGATTTTTGGACAGACGCCGTTTACGCACATCGATAAATAATATTCAATCCACACCACTTCATCATTTTATTTTGTTAATGTTGTTCTCGAAAAAATACGTGACGCAAATGTTTGAAGTATTCAAATGTTGCGAAGTATACGAAAATTTGTATAGTCATTCTTACTGCGTCATCAGTCTGTTGCACAGTATTAGTCCCCTTCGAAAAGTTTGCATGAAACATTTATTGAACTTTTATTATTTTCCTTAGTTTCGAATTATCGAATTTTTAGATAACAGCACTTAATATTATCCTACTTAATAGCTTAGTGCAGTGATGGATCTGAAAGAGCTCAGACTAAATTTTTCGTCTCAAATTTTCGAAATTTTTCTCGATAACAATACTATCCTTTTTCACAAGTCGAAAAGAAAACTTAATAAAATGGATTCACCTTTAGGGAGTTAGAATAAAGAGAAACTTTGTTAATTTTATTTTCAATAGTTTTTGAGAAACTAACGCACAACATTTGACGTGATTTAATTTGCACATTCCATCGGTACTATTTGTAATTGTTTAACGATCAAACAGAAGGAAGCAGTAGTCGATATAACGTAGAGTCGATAGGTCGATTAGTCTTTGCAGATTGATATCGGTGGATTAAGACATTTAATAGAAATTTGGATTATGTACTAGGATTTAAGTAATCCGTTGCACTGAGCATTTATCGCTTGTACATCAAACTTGATTTTTATTATTATTGTCGTTTATTGCGCTGTGAATATTTGAACGAGAGAGTGATATATGGCGAGCTTAGAATCGAATTACTCGGAATCGATAGGCGATTACGCCATTTGCAATACTCACTATAAGCTACCGTAAGTTTCCATCGTCGATAATGTTCTTGAAACGTCTTCTTTGTTTTGCAACAAGACTTTTGCTCACGTTCTTGACTCGTGAACTATACTTTTGGTAGTCGTTCCAACACTATGATCCTCGATTTTGATGGTATCTAATTTTACGAGATTTGGACATAGATCGAGTCGTTATCGTTTATGAGAGCATCGACCAAAATAGCAAATGGAATACTACGAACGATTAAAAATATAGAAGGCAATACCGAAATATGTTTCCTTATTTTTTAAAAATCGTAATGATCATAAATGTTAAAGACTCTCAAAACCAGAAAAGAAACAGTTGCACAAAGACCATCCAGAGAATTTCACGATAATATCAACAATTATTCGTAATTTCACGTCGAGTCAGAAATAAAGGACACTTGTATAAGTAAACTGGTAGTCAAATAAAAATAAAAATTTAAATTGCCCATCGAACGATCGTCACGATTTAATTCTTACACGTTCTATTCGTTATTTGTTACTCAAATGAAAGTATGGTCATGAGAATGTAATTCTTGATAATCGAAATGGAAGAACGTCGAAAATGGTTTCCAAATTTGCGGTATTCTTGCCTTGGATCGGATTAGAAAACGATGTCGGTTCATTTGTCATCGATCTGTCCACTTGTCTGGTATCTAGGCCACGTGCATGAGTCTCTCGAGAATCTCAATATCACTATTTACACGCGCTCGACAATGTTCGTTATCGTGCAAACTTCCTTATCTAGCGTCGCTTCGTTATTTGTATACACGCACGTGTACATGCGCTACATTCCATTGAACGTTTTCCACTTTCGGTGCACTTTGAACAAACAACTTATTCGCTCGCGCTGATAATTACCGATCAATGAAGTTTTCTTCGCGCGTTCGAGGAACTAGGCAGAATGAGTCAAACGGATTTTTGCAATTCCTAGAAGCAAACCAAGAATTCAAAAATCGACGCGTTTCACAGTGGTTCAACAACGATCAATCTTTTCGAATCGATGTCTACTAAATTTATTTCTCTTTCCATCCACTTTGAAATTAAGAAATTCACAGAATAAAAATATGTAATTAGTACCAATATTTAAAGTTGAATATTTTAAAGAAAGCATTCACGTAAAATAGTTGAAATTTATTTCTCTTTCCATCCTCTTTGAAATTAAGAAATTCACAGAATAAAAATATATGATTAGTACCAATATTTAAAGTTGAATATTTTAAAGAAAGCATTTACGTAAAATAGTTGAAATTTATTTCTCTTTCCATCCACTTCGAAATTAAGAAATTCACAGAATAAAAATATGTAATTAGTACCAATATTTAAAGTTGAATATTTTAAAGAAAGCATTCACGTAAAATAGTTGAAATTTATTTCTCTTTCCATCCACTTTTAAATTAAGAAATTTACAGAATAAAAATATGCAATTAGTACCAATATTTAAAGTTGAATATTTTAAAGAAAGCATTTACGTAAAATAGTTGAATAAATATTTCCTCTGTGTTTTTTTTTTTAATATGGAAGAAAATTGAATACAAGTTTTATTCGTTGCACAAATGTTGTAATTTGAGTTAAGGTTGGATAGCACTCGCGAAAACACTTCTAGCGAGATCGGAGGATCCCGTGAACCTTGTCTGGAAACGCAATTCCAAGTTTGTCGCTTATTTAAGTTTGTCGAATTTTTTTGAAACGCAATTATCGTAGATCGGGAGGATCGACTAGAGCCTTTTAAGCGCCCAGTATTAAAAACACATCGATCAATGTCGCATTAAATGACTATCGGAACTCCTGGACACAATCGCGCGAGAAAAGTCGTTCGATTAAAATTGAATATCGCTGTAGATAGGGAAACGCAATGTCGAATATGTTTCGATCATTGATAGCGATCGATAGGAATTAACGTCGAGTTAAAACTCCTACCAGTGGCATAATTAATTCGAGGGGCCACGAGTTCGTAACAGCCAAACAAACATCGTTTTATTCTATTTCTGTGCACGTATTTTCGCAAATATTAATTTATTAATAAATCGTGATCACGATGGAAACTTTTATTTAATTTAGTGAGCATAATTTAATGAACTTCAAAAGTTTTGTTACTTGTTTCAACTTAAAAAATTATAAATATCACTTTATCTGATTTTAAAATATGAAGTATTGGTTGAAAACGAAATAAATCTCTGTACAGTAATTTATATTTAAGAAATTACGTGAGTTGCAATAGCTATGTAAAAATGAAGATGTACATGAGTCACAGTGTTTCGAGATTTTGGCAAAATTATATCACTGAAGAGTTTAAAATTGTAATATGAAATACTACTCCATTTGTCTTTCGATTTTACATTTCATTCGTCAATTTCATTCATAACACAGAAATTATGGGAACATGGATAAAGAAATACCACTTTGATCACATTGAAATGTAGAAAACGTTGGATACGCATATTCTTTATCGTGAGATGCAGCTACAGTGCATTTTTACAAATTACAATCAAGTTCCAAGTCCTTGCTTAGACTCAGCAGAAATGAAATACCATTTTGTAATATAATCTGCAAATACTATTAAATGTGACGTGTTTCCATACATTAGTAAACGAAAGTGTAAGCACGAAGTTATCTGTGCACTTTGCTTCTGATTATTTCTATAACGAATAAAAGAAAATTTCCGTCGTAGAAATTAAATAAATTTTTCATATTCGTAACGTATTATTACGTTTAAAATATTATTTTCTTTCGATTATTAATGGACGTGCACCAACAATCAAATAGAATCGGAGAAACTATAATAAGTACAATTTATTTCTTATAAAAACCTCATAAAAATCATGATTTTTGTATAAAATTTTATATTAAAATTATTGTTATTACAGACTCGCTCAATTTGTAAAAATAGCCATTTCTATTTCCATCTTCTTCTCGCTTGGAATAGCTTATTACGTGCCATACTCGGTATTATGGCCGATGATCGAGTCGAAACTTAAGTCCTACAGTTATGGCAAATTTATGTTTCGTTTGGGTGCAGTGGTTGCAACAAGTGAGCGAAATTAATTTAATGAGAAATTCTTTGTTAAATTTAACGATTGTTCATTTCACTCGGTATTTTCGTTCCTTTTAAATTAATTTACAGCAATATTGGCCATCGCGGTCCCGATTATGGTTCCATTGCTCGGCCTTCTCGCAGCTATAAGCATGACCACCGTGATGTTATTAATTCCCACAGTAATAGAAACAACAACAAAGTGGGAAAGAAGTACACGGTTTCTTTTAGCAAAGAATATCAGCATTTCCTTCATCTGGATGCTTTTATTGGTACGTATCGAAAATCGACGTTATTTACATAACGAAATTATTTGTCTAAATTTTTAAAACTTGTTTATATTAGGTTACAGTACATAAAACAGTCAGTGGCAGATGTTTACTTAATTTTTATACGCTTCGATAAGGTGTCATTTGCCTACAATGTACCTTCTAGCAGATTAAGAATTATCTTTAACTGCTTTGTTTCCTCTGTCTTGATTTCGTAAATATACCAACGTTTAGCAAATACTACTTTTATTAGATTGCAATGATCGCGTATAATCATCGTACATACTATATCCACGGTATTTCTCTCTGCAAATCTAAACTCGGTAATTTTATGGCTTTAACTAAGCGTAATATTAGTTAGTTAAATTCTGGTGATGAAATTGATTTCCATAATTTCTTTCGATGATTCTGATCCTGGAAATGAACAATATAGAGTCAATTAAAACAAATTAATAACAAAATAATAGTGTACTTGCAAAACTATTAAACGAATTATAGGGTAGCATATTCTATTTTTTTTAGGGTAACAAATTTTTATATTTTCTGTTACATTGAACGGAACCAGAATAAGAGGAAAAATATTACAGTTGCTTTGAACACGATTTTACCGAAATATTAATCAAATTAAAAAACATTGAAAAACAATATTGATATCTAGTATCAAATTATTTCATATTAATTCAAGAACTTATTAGAGACTTGTTAAGAGTGATTAAAACTCATTTTACTGTGACGAAACATTTTATAATTGTCCTTAAAATTGCATCAGTAAGTCCACTTTTTATTATTCAGGAAAGTTGAACATCATCTTCTTGATAATGAGATAAGAATATCGAACCTTGAAAGAGAATGTCAACTTTCAGATCTTCAGGTGATTATTGTATGAACTATGGCGTAGAACATTATCAGTTTACCAGAAGATATCCTTAGGAAGCTTACAACACAATAATTGTGAAACATCAATTTCGTTGGGAAAGGGAGATAACAAATTTTGATTTCAGCAATACGTATCCATCGTCTGCCTGCACCAGTTTTTTAAAATATGAATCTCGTTCGACAATGTTTCATTATATCATTATCATACTCGTAAAGTAACAGAAGTATCGACCTAATAGACGCGCAGAATCTAAAGTATGTTGCAACACGTGCATCGATTATCCATTTCTTCGCGTAGATTGTAAAACAAAATATGAAACTCGATCTATAATTTAGCTCGACGTAAACGCTATCCAATGTTTAACGAGACACAAGGAAATTGGTCTGAAATTGGTTTCGCTTGGATATTAAGCCTCCGTGTTTCGCCATCCAGATACTGTCTCGATCGATATCCATTTGCGAAAAATGTTTCAATTATGATGAAACTGAAAGTATATTCTATCGTTCGATTATTCCATATTTGGGTTTTACCTATCCAATTTGGAATAAAATTAAATTGAATTAGAAATGTTAATTTTTATTTTCGAAGGAAAGAAAGCATCTTTGATACAAGATTAAGTTTCCTTTTTTTTTTTTATTCATTAAAATATTTGAATTAATATTATGGACGAAAAACGAGTTTTTCAGGTCGAATAAAGGTTTTCTATTTATCTTGTTAGGTTTTCGGAGTTGCAGAAGGTATATTGTCCATCGTCCGAGAATACCATGGCGTGAAAATGAAAGGATGCTGATTAACAAAATGGAAAATAAAAACACTGAGCTTTAAGGAAATCAAATTAATTTTAAATGTCGATACATTATATTTGTTAGTAATTATGAAATATTTTACGTTAAGCTTAGTTGGAAAAATCAATTTTGTCGTGTAATATTATTTAATATTATCTACTGTAAAGCTAGAGGACAACGATTGTAGAATCTGAAAATGAAGGTAAACGTGAACGCTCAGTTTTCAAGCAATGGTTTTCTACATAATATTATTTTACTTCTGATTCGAATGAACGTGGAAATATAATTTTTACTAAGCGAAACGAAACCGTGATTTATTTAACGATTTTCTTCACGCTTAGAATTTACGATAATAGGTTGTAAATTATTTTATACACGGTAACGATACAGGACACGGCTATTAATAATTACATCAACGCGATCGAAAGACATTTAAGTCCCGGACGTGCAAGTTCGTGCGTTAATGAGACAACATCGAGAAAAACTGTAAAAAATGAGAAACGCAACGTATGTGGTTTATCGATTCCGTGTGAATAATTTAGCATATAAATTACGACTTGTGCAAACAATTCTGGATATAGTCACTGTACCGATATGTACCAACTATCTTCATTGGAAATTAATATCAGTGTGAAAATAATTATAATGTTAAATTTAAACAATTTTCCAGCGTAATAGTATTCTCACTCGAACCTGTGATGTTTCTATTACTATTATATATTCTACGCTGTGTAGAAAATAAATTGTTATCTTAATAATAATCCACACTACTGAATTTGGTTCAGAGCTTGGCCTCTTCGATGAGTTAAAATGAACAAAGGTTCGTAATAATCATTTATTTTCGCGCGTTAGCTTAAGGAATAAAGAAAATTAAAGGGTAAACAGTATCAAGAGTCGTATAATCTTATAACGTTCGTTCATCTTAGTAACAAGTAAAGAAATCACTCTTCGTTTCAGATAACGCGTTTTAAGTCGATGCATTTATCTCAACAACGTTAAAAATGCTTGAAAACAAAAGTCAAGTATGGAATTAATAATATCATATTGCCCTATGGGACTCACAGATATCGTCAAATGAAACTTGTTTTCTTCGTATTAAAAACAAAATTATACCAAGTGTCCAATGATTGGGCTTATTTTTTTGTTTCAATATCGTTAGTTTGAAAGATAATCGCGTAGATCGATTCAAACGAAGCAGCCTGTACATATTTTGGATAATTAGGAGCTTTCAAAATTCTTAAATCAGAATCTTCTTTACGTGAAATTCATTGCAGATTAAATGAATGAAGAAGTTGAATGGAAATACATGTGAGTAACATTACTCGGTAAAGTGAGAATCTGGAAATAATTCTTTTCACAAGATCTTTTAAACACGTGATTTATGGTATTTTCTGATTATGAAACTTGATAGATACTGTAGAAAACACATTAAGATTGATCGTAACGTAATTCTTATTTCACGGTGTGCATTTGCGTCAATTTTGTTACCGCGAAAACCCGCTGTAACTCGTAAACAAAATATTTCCTTGCATCCGATTGTCATATGAAAAAGCAATAAGTTAGATATACTTGAGATAAATCTTTGTTAAAAAATGAATTGTATAATTGTGAAAAAATTGATACAAATCTTGTATTGTATAATAACGGTGACTATTTTTCGATATTTCTGAATTTGAAATTGTGTACAATATCCATTTAATGAACAAAATATTTCCAGAAAGATAGGAAATATCGTTTATTAATTTTGTTGGCTTTGACCTTTACAAAAGATCTATAGAAATTGCACATTATTAATTGTAAAAATTTGCTAAAATTATGATAATATAAACATGGTCAAATGAATATTTAATAATCTAAATAAATAAGTATTTTAATCTGTTTAACTATGTTTCATCACTTGGAAAAGTTTGACGAAGTAATAACCATAAGAGGACTATAAAAATTTCAATATAAAATCGATATTTCCAAACTTTTTAAATTAAGTTTACAATTTCATTTAGCAGCCAAAAAGTCTGAAAAAAATTCAGTAACGTGTACGCCTTCGTGTAGAATATCTACGATTTTTTTCATAATTCGATACAACAAAAAAATGCAGAACTGTAAATTACGATTTACTCTGTAACTACCCTAATATTAGGGGTGGCGGGTTAATATTCGTCAGAAAAAGTTTTCTTTGGAGGATCTATCCATTGATAGGTTCAAAATTGAATTTAGTTGGACACTTTTACCATCCTTATTAAAATGTACCCTTTTATTCGTAACTAACGAATAAAATATTTAAATTCAGTATGAAATTAAATTCAGCCTGGGTCTTTGTTTACCTGAATGTCAGTTTAAAACATTCTTTTATAGATTCTAATTTACAAGGGTGGTTTTACAAATGAAACACAAATGGAAAGTGTTAGTTTATAAATGAATCCAAAATTTTGATTCGTTAATCGAGAATAAAAGTTCACTTTTATCACGCTTAATTAATAAAATATTTAAATTAATTCTGAAACTAGATTGAACCTGTGTCTTCGTTTATCTGAATATCGGTTAAAAATATTTTATAGATTTTAATTTACAAGGGTGATTTTACGAATGGAACACAAATGGAAAGTGTTAGTTTATAAATGAATCCAAAATTTTGTTTCGTTAATCGAGAATAAAATTTGTCCACTTTTATCACGCTTAATGAATAAAATATTTAAATTAATTCTGAAACTAGATTCAACCTGTGTCTTCGTTTATCTGAATATCGGTTAAAAATATTCCTTTATAGATTTTAATTTATAAGGGTGATTTTACAAATGAAACACAAATGGAAAGTGTTAGTTTATGAATAAATCCAACATTTTTACTACGCTTATTAAGCTGTACTCTTTTATTCACGATTAATGAATAAAACATTTAAATTCATTCTCAAACTAGATTTAGCCTGTGTCTTCGTTTATCCGAATGTCAGTTTAAACTTTATAAATTCTACTTTATGGGGATGTCTTCACAAACAAAACATAAATGGAAGTTTCATGAACGAATCCAAAATTAGTCTTCTTAAATCGCGAATAAAATTGCCCCCCCCCCTCCCCCCCCCCTCAATTCTGTGTTGCAGTGACGATCATTGAGCTCACATAGACTTCGTTCTATACGAAAACACGAGAACATGGCACGATTGCGTGCAAAAGGAGCCTTTATTCGAGCAAGTTCGAATAAAATGCCCAACTCTGAGCGCGAAACCAGCACCAGGAAAAGGAGCATCGTCGGGGAAAAGAGCACAAGAGATCACCGGGGGCCTACAGGGAGAGGGTAAACCGTTGGAGGGAATGTTTGCGACGCAGAATGCGGAACGGTATCGAACAGAGAAAGATAGGAGCAAGGTGAAAGGGAGCAGGCGAAATGCAGACGGTGCAAGATCCGCTGGATCAGAGTCTCGATCGCGGTCGCGGTGTGGCCCTGTCTTCGCGCGATCGTCGCGATGCTAAGGACGACTCGAGACAGTCTTGGGAAGAGCCACGACCGATAGAACTCATTAAGAGGACGGCCTCTATTTCCCCTCCCACGCGTCGCGACAATTGCTTCTAGCGGAACGCCCGTCTGCTTGTATTGCGACTGTATACGCTCAGGTATATATACCTGAGCAACGCCGAAAAAACCTGGCCAGTCGTGTGCGACTGTTTGTCACCGTTCCGCGCGGATTTTCCTCCTCGATCGTCGCTCCTACGCACGTCGCGGTTCCGTCACAGGATCGTCATCCTCGAATAGACTCGCAACGGAACACGAGGAGGTCTCTTTCACGACGAAGGACGCGGAGTTTGAGGAAGTTTGCACACTTTTCTCTCTAGACTTTGGAAGAGTCCACGCCAACTTACGACGCCTGCGAAAACGAAGTAGTTCGAAGAAGTTTGAAGAAGTTTGAAGCAGTTGGGAGGACCGACAGTGACGGATCGTGTCTCATCTCGATCGTCTGTAACGACTGGAGTTCCAGTTCGAGCAGTTCCTCCCGGTATCAGTGAGCGCGAAAAATAAAAGCGTGCGCGTCTATTACACGGGGCAAATTTTATCGTCGCCGCGGCACCACAATTATCAGCGATAAGAAAAATCCCTGCGGACGATCGAGCAATCCGATCGAAGGCACAGACGCGCGCTCGGTATCGTTGTGCAATTCATTTGTGCGTGGGATTTATTCAGCGGTGTATCGTCGGCCAGTAAATCGTACGACACTGACCGAGACTTCTATGATCCGCTGATAAATCATTATCTATCGCGTAACCTACCGGACGCTGTAAAACGATAAAAGTACGGTAAACCGTCGGAGCATCCTTAGTACGGAACGAAGGAGGATAGGATGTAAATAGACGGCTGTCGGGAAATCGAGCTACTCCGTTTCTTCGTCTCAGCCACGAGCACATCCGTTTCTTTCCGTCGAGGACTGGGATCAACCAGGGTGCACGTGAGTATATTTATGCAGAGCGTGTACGTACGCTGAATCTTCGCGTTCGCGAACGATAAACATCGAGTTGCAGTCGACCTACCCCGGTTACGCAACACGGACTTTCGACGGAGCGCCAGAAAGTGACTCGTTTCGAAATTGTTCGATCGTTATCGACGGTTTTCGAGGATTTTTGCTAAACTTCCGTTCGCCGTGGAATTTCGCGTCTCTTGAAGTTTCGACGATAACGCTCGCGCGTCAAACAGATAACGCGGATCCAACGCGGCGAAAACTTTGTTCGTAAACTGTATACGCGCTCGTGATGCAAACGTTGCGCGGCAATAAATTTTCGCGTTTATTCCTGAAGCACTTACCACGCCGGAAACATCGCTTACACGCTTCCGGGACGTTCGCGGAGCGCTAAATATTTGAAATCCACCGAGGAAACGAACGAGAGATCGTAATCCTGTTCTCGGTCTGTCTTCGATCGAATTATTCCGGAACGAGTACGAGTATTCGGTGTGCTCTTTGTTCTCTGGATTAATTTCTTCCATATCGACGCTTAGTGAAACGGTTATGGAAGTTTTCTAATCGTTTGGAAAGGAACTTTCGTAATAAAAGTTCCGACGAGAAGAAAAAAATTAAAGCTCTTGCGTAACGGAAGTAGATATTTTCTTCGTCGATGGCAGAAATGTTCTCGATTTTGTTCGTGGTTCGTTGAAAATCATCGTGGAATTTATAATCTTATAAATACTGATAAGTGTTAAGAAATTGCAGATAGGAATATTGAAAATGATTTATGATTTATGATGCGAGTCAGAAGTGTGATTAAGGGTTTAAAAATTTCACAAAACTGAGGAAACAAGATTGAAAAACTGAAAACTTATAAAAGTAATATCAGAATAGCTGTAATGATTAATGAATTTTAGGAATGAATAACGAAAATGATTTATGTACTGAAACACGTGAGTCAGAAATGTGATTAAGAGTTTAAAAATTTCATAAAACCAAGGAAACAAGGTTGAAAAACTGAAAGCTTAGAAAAGTAGTATCAGAATAGTTGTAGTAATACAAATTTGTACGGTTAATTAACACTAAAAAATATTAATTAAAATAAAAATTGAACATATTTAGCTTCCATAGAATTGGTACAAACTTTTGTTCAGTCCATATTTGAAAAAGTACGAGCTGGCTGTACATTGTATATTTTCGTTTAATATTATTAAAAACTGCAACGGTGTTTTTGAATAGAAGAATACAAAACAGTCGTTAGTATAAGCAATACTGGCATGCAAATACGGACGCTATCAGTTACGAATTCCTAAGTAATGAATATTACACGTTGGAAATGGCTAACAGTAAGTTTTGTTATATTTCGTTCTTCGTTAAATAATTTTAAAGTTACAAGCAGAAAGACTACACTTAGCTTGGACAAGTAAAAATTAGTTGTTTCACCACCACGTGTACCCTTAAAACATTATGGTCGGTGACGGTCACCACGCTGATTAAAACAATCTATTATCTGAATTTCAAATGTCGAACAATCGCCAAAATTATATCTTTATTTCTATTTTTAATTCCAAACTCCAAAGTTTACTTACTCTCAACCTTTTTTCATCTTCATTTTTAACCATTTTATTCAATAATATTATAATACTGATATTATTTTTAAGAAAAAACAAGCGATCGATGCAGAATGTTAGTGATTTGCGAAGACATATGTACCTGTCACAACAAAAGGAACATTTTGTTTATTTTTAACCGTTTCTTGCAAAACGAAAACTCAAAGTAGAAAACTGTCTAATAAACGTTCTTTGCGACCGTCTTTAAAACCACGACGTTAACAAGTTTCCGATAACAAATTATTGGCTATAATTCGCTGTCAGCTGGAAAAGTATTACAATTCTAACTTATGCCAAGGTTAGTTGATTACAGGAACAATAATGTAGAACTGAAAAGGGGAGGGCCAATGATAAAATGACAAAGTAAAATTCAAGGTTTCGGAGACTCGAAAATACCTAGAAATTATGAATATTAAAATTTTGACGATTACTCAAATTTTGGCAAGAAATAAAATTTAGATAATTGATTTCTTAATCAATTCAATTATCAAAATCGAGTACTTGTAAGACCATTACATTTCATAATTGATATCATAGTCGTCGTTAACAATTTATCTAATGTTAAAAAGTATAGTTCCGTTGTTGATGGCGATTACCAGCAATCGAATAAAATTTTAATCGTAAACGATGATTATTGTGTAACCAAAAAATGTAGAAATATCTTTCGATTGTACTATTTTTTTTTTAAACTTGCTTTAGACTTTTAGGACTATTCGACAATTTTTTTGTAAATGATGACTCCCAAAAATAATACATAGAAGTAGAAATGTAAAGTACGAAGAAAGAAATTGCTCGAAGATAATAAATATTTGTTGGTTAATGAAAAGGGGAGCACGAACCCTTATATCCACTGTACGTGTTTGTAAAATATGTATAGTTTGAGATCTTTGTGCACTTTTCTTGAGGAATGCCGTTAATGAGTGAGATCACGTGGAGTAATAGCGTGGAAATAATTTAATATCACACGATTGGGTGAAATTTCGTATCAAAGCGAACACTGTTAGATTCCATCGAGACGAAAGTAACAAAACGGAGGGCGGGACGGGATAATTTTCCACTGCGATTTTCCAGAACAGTTACGAAACGTTAGTCAGAACGTACGAATATGCTAGGAATTTATTGTGGGGGCTAATGCTACATTGTGCAGTGGCAGCTGTGCACGTAAATCTGTTGAAGTTCTGGTTGATTCACTGAAACGTTACTCAAGAATTCTGTGTCACCCGAAATGGAATGTTATCGATAGCGATGGAAATGATACCGAACAAGTACTATCGATACCACTCCTTGAATTATGATCTAGTATCGAACAGTGTAAAACGTGTAAAGTCAATTCCCATTTGATAATTCTACAGATGTATCTGCAAAGTACAATACAAATGGACAGAATGGCGAAAAATAAATAAAATTGAAACAAAGTTTCCTTGTGCCATATTATCAGTATATTGACAAGGTAAACAGTGAGTTAAAAATAGTTAAATCGTTTTTCTACTATTTTAAAGTACGCATTATGCGCTATCGTCTGTCGATGATAATGAGGTTAGTTTTCCGGTAACTTTTATCAAAGTAAAATTTTAATTTCTAACGAGTAGTTATCGTGCTTTTACCGATTAGATTTTGTTTAAAATTATTAACAAGTATCTGAACTTTCTATTAAGTATTTCGTCATTGAATTGCTTGAGCATTATCAGTCCCATCGATGTTACGACACTTGTCTCGATATAATAATTTCAAAAAACGCTATTCATTGTAATACCTGCAAGTATAATTATTTGATAAAATAGAAAAGGAAAGGCTTTTAAATGTTGTGTTGAGTAATGTGTTCGTTTGGATTTTGGAAAGTTAAATGTCACACTTACCGAATGTCTAATCAACGGTGTATACACAGCCCTGTTTTATAACCGCCATATCTTACGCCATTTGTACATTCTATTAGCGTGATTACACATTGACTCTCAAGCCGATTTCATGAAACGTTCAATATTTATCATTCCGTATTTCATTTATGATTTATGCTCTCGATCCAATACTCTTATTCCAACCAATTCGAACAAAAGCTTATAAGGGTTGAAAGAAGATATCGACTCGACTAAAATATTGATTGTCAATAGTGTATAAACCATACTCCAGAGTGAAAGATAAACTGAAAATAAATATTTAGACATACATCTAGATAAAAGACTCGTTTGTAGACATCATCATTATAACCAAAAAAAAAACAACTTGACATCAAAATGAGGAAGATACACTGACTGCTAGGTTACAAATCATAGTTGACGCTGAACAATAAATTATTACATTGCAAAGCTACGAGAACACCGATTTGGACATATGGGATAAGACTCTGTGTGCAAAAAAATGAATCATCGAAATAATAAAAGCACTCTGTTGGTAATTAATATTTATTTATTTTAATAATTGCCAGCGGAAGTGCTCGGTGAATTCGTTCCGATTAATTTGTGTTCGTTTAATTGGTATTTAAGTACAGATATCCAGTCTCTTTGAAATGCAAAAAAAAAATTGATTTCTGCGAAATGTTTACTATACTGGAAATCCATTTGACGCGGATCGCGAACATGTCGTCATCATTAATGCTGACTGACCTTCGTCTTTCATACCAGGATCGGTCGTTTCAAAATGTAATAAACCAGTTTTGAATCTGCAGAACTGCATCGTATCTGCGAGGTAATCTGAAAGAAAAGATTGGAAAATTTACAGGCGTGTAATACTCCGAGAAAAAGATAAACAATGCCTAGTTAACGCAAGTCTGCGAATCAACGTTGCCAGAAACCAGACGAAAGAAAGGTAAATTGTTATTTCGAGTGACAATTTAATAAATTTACGCGTGAGTCATGGCTATAGCAGTTTATATATCGTCAACGATTTTTAGATTCATATTGATTGGACGTTCTACATTTTTACGAGTACTATGTATCCCTAAATACTTTGTTTACTTTCATATAGTACTGTTATTTTCTTTCTTTAAAATATAAATCTGAACTGATGGATATCGTATAAATGTAATAACCTTTTAATATTTGTGATTTCATCTGTTTCTATTATGTTTGAATCGAACCGTCTCGTTGATCGTTCAAAAACAGTCAGGTTTCTGCTATAAAAATACTGCTTACCGCACTTCACTAAAATGTGAATTTTTTCCCAAACAACTTGCCGAAAATAGTGTCGTGTTCGCATGTCGATTAAATTTATGTAACCAACGTTCATTGGTTCCTTTAATTCATCATTTCCGTGGCATTGAATTCTGACAAAGAATTCCTCCCATTTCCAGTGGATATATTGAACGAACCAAAATGGACGAACGCTATTTTTACGAACGAGAAAAGATTGATTACACAAAACGAATTGATTTGTACGTAGTAAAGTTTGCTTCATAAAATAAGA